TCCAAAAATGACACTATCACACTTCCGTATTAGTAAGAAAATTTAGTTGTAAAAATCGCCAGTTTTTTTATGTCTTATCAATTTATCCACTTGATGTAATTTAACTTTAATTATTCATTGAACAGTTGTTGGTTGGATAACTGTGTGGTAAAATTTGTCTAACAATGTACATTCGAATTTACAACAGCATACAGAACTGTTCTTTACCCAACCACGTTGTTTCAGATTTCGACTGGGTAAGAGCACACGTAAACAAACTAACTTCCCACATACCAAGACTTCCTTTATTTTAAATAGGCTAACCTCATTGAACTCACTGCACATCGAGTGCTCTGGCGATGCCTTGGACACACTGAGGGAATTGTCGAGTTGCCCCCACTAGTAGACACTGAACCGAAATCCTGAAGGAAGAAGGAAAAGAGATAGACGAAATTATTCAGTACAGTACACAGTGGAGTTGGAGCTTACCTGTTCAAATATACAAGGCTCTTTGTTAGTGGGATATAGATTGGATTGAACATGTTTTATGCATGATGGTGTTGCTGCGCGCTGATTGGTTAATTTTAAACGGATCCGCCCGGGCATATTATTGCAGAAAAATCTATAAGCTTCTTATGCATATACTACAAATATATGAACGATATTTAAACTATTGATTGCTGATTGCGGATTGCTGTTCACATACCATTGTTATTTTGAATACAATATCATTCCTGTTCAGGGTGTTCTGATTTTGGGGTCTTGTCGAGTGTCATCGTATAAGAATACTAAGCAATAGGAATAGCTGGGTCGTTTATACAGCAAAAAAAATACAATTTATAACACTCTTCAAAACTCGATATAAGATAAGAGAAAATATAGTGCCTATATAAAATAAGGAAGTGAATGAAAACTTGATCGCTATTGTTCTTACACATACTTTGTTGTGTGAGGTCGACTCCTAATTAATAAACCTATGTTGTAACATTAGCTCCCTCCTAGAGTCGACTTCCGTAGGAACGTTGGTTTGATGAATCTATCCGTCAAGAGCACCTCCTTTCTGTTTCCGCAGCCCAAAGGAGAATTACTGAATTGCTCAGTGTTTGACTACTAACCGATGATGACCAACCCCGTCAGTGTTTGACGATACTACATAGATTTCTCTTCATTAACTAGCTTGTTATCTTATCACGTAGCATTTTATTTCTTCGACGACTATCGCCAACAATTTGCTGCATGGCCTTTGTATGGTGATCACAGCCTTTAGGAGAAAAGAGGGTGGAGAAATGAAACAAGAATATCTGAAGAAGTGCCACGAGTGGGCTACCCAACACCAGGTCAGTGGGGTACGACTTTTACATGCTCTGTCCGGCCATTAGGTGTTTAATCACCTGCCTCCTGTGTTGCCCTCAAGTGAAAAATAAGGAAGAATCTACTTCAGAAGCAAAGATGAAAACTTCATAAAACTGCTCCCCGCTTATATAAAATAGTAAGGCACATAAAGGAAAAACACAAATGCAATTGATAATTGTTGGGCTCGAAATAAGTGCTCAGCTCTCAGAATGGATTGGCAACCTGGAAGAGAGCAGATACAATGTAGACATCTTGTACACAAAAAGGCATTGAGAGAAAAAATTACTCTTTGAAAATATATGTATGTAAATGTATGAATTTGCTGGAAGTTGGATTCATCACCAAGTTTTATCAAATATATCACCTTGAGTCTGTGTTGACCACTTTACGTGACCGGTTTCGTAACCGCGGGTTCGCAGAGCACTCTCTGACCCAGAAAACCAGAATATACCGCGAAGGAGGAAAAGGAAATTACCAAGAATACAGGGATCAAATGGGCCATTTATAGTCAGTGGTATAAAATATCAACCCAGCTTAGTGATTTAGTACAGTGAAAATTGTAACTTCTGTAACAATTTGATCTTGCCTTTAAACTGCCATGCCTCATGTAACAAAGCGTTATTTGAAAATAAATTATTGTTATTATGATCAGAGTGTTACAGATTAAACATTTGATGGCATGATGGAGGTGTCCATATTGTATAAAAGCCATATCTCCTCAGGTCACCTAGGAAATGAGTTTGTTTGAACCTCTCAAGTGTGTAAGTTCCATTAGTCATGAGTATCGTGAATAATTGACCAGTGTAAGCAAATACTTCAGTCTCGTCCACTACGGGCTGGCGTAGTTTATGGGTTAAGTGCGTGGTCTGTTATTTGAGAGGACAGTAGTTCAAGTGTGTCCGGTTGGTGTTTCCGTTCTTTAAACTCACATCCATAAGATGTTTGCTGACTGCAAGCTACTCAGACACTAGGAAAGAAACAATAAAAGAACGGATTGCTATCCCAAATTGCCCTAATAGGCCATATTGGAACACTGTGTTAGATGCTTAAAAGATGAAAAGAACACGTGTTTTCTGTTCAAATTAAGAGCAATCAAATAAAAAAGGCACATGTGTGATAAGTTTCAGTTAATCGACAATAAAATAAAATATATGAACTTTTATTTGAAACATAACATTAGTGTTAAGTTCGTGAATTTTGTGTGAACAGCTGACAATAATTGACTTTACGTGAGCGTAACCGTGAGAGTCATGCCTTAAACTCTGGTTAGCTGGCGGATAAATTGTGAAGTGACTTTGAAATAGATATGTGAAATCAATACAGCTTACATAGTAACGTTGCAGGTAATGTACTGTCTAATATTATCAGTTAACTAGGTGTTTGTAAATCGATAAAAATATTGCTAAAAAACACCAGCCAGATTAAACAAACTAGACATTTTAAAATCTGCCCTAAGATTTGAAGTAAACATTATGACGCCTCGTGATAAAAGCCTACATTCTTCGGAATTCATTAGGCAAATGCCCCTTCTAACAACCAGAGAAACAATTTTTATCGGTACACAGAACATCCAGACATTATAGGAGACCGGTATAACCACTCAAATAGCAACCGTAATGAAGAGATACAACTTGGTAGTACCCGGAAATAGCGAAACCCATTGGACCTGAGACGGACAAAAAAGGATACATTCTGGAGAGTTGCTGTTGTACTTTGGTCATGAAGAGGAAAATGTTTCGCATACTCGGGAAGGGATCAAAGAAGCACTAGTCTCAGCGTGTCAAGTTCCAGACCGCAACAATCATCATCGTAAGGAATGGATCTTCATCGAAATCCTGAATAAGATTCCAGAAAGGAAGAAGGAGAAGACAGCAATTTACAACACTGGAACAAGAATAGCGAAAGTCAAGGCGCATGCTGAATACACAGAACCAAACAAGCAAGTGGAGAGGAGCATTAGAGCTGACAAGCAGAGGTACGTGGAAGAGCTAGCAACGACAGTGGAGAGAGTTTCAAGAGAAGGAAATATGAGTCAGCTTTATGACACAACGAGGAAACCGGGGGAGGGGGAATATAGTAAACCAGAGACCAGTCAAGGATAAAGAAGGCAGGCCAAACACCGAGATCCAAGAACAGAAGGGTAGAATGCTTCGAAGAACTTCTGAATAGACCAGCGGTAGAGACACTCCTTAGCTCGTTTTGTAGCTGCACTTTGGAGTGATTACTTAAAGTGTATAACCTTTTCGTAGTATCTACTTTCCGAGACTACCATGAAGACTGCATAGAACAAACATCATATTGCTGGAGAAATGTACTAGTAAGACGAAATAATTAGTAAAAGCACTGCTGTATAGACTAGTTCATGTCACTCAACTGATCAATTTTTGTCGTCCAAGATGTCTGATGAACTTTCTAATTATCAATGATCCTTCCTCCAAAGTAGAAATGGTCATGTCTGATGGATAATTTGGCTATGATTCAGTGACTTTCTACTAGCCCTACAACACCTGGAAGAAAGGGTGTACTAAACGTTTGTAGTGCTGTTTGTCTATATGTCTATTGCTTTTTTATCTTCATTTTTATCCTGGACACTAGGCGGCAATCTGGAGCTACATCATCTCTTCGCTTAGTGCTCACTTCTTCAATGGACCTTCTAAACATTTTGTCCACTTATATGTGATTGGGTCGCAATTAGTTCCACTCGTCCCAAGCAATGTCAAATTGCATTTTCTTACTTCCTTGTCTATTTGAAGGGTTATTTTCGTCTGTCATATTGTTCGGATACTCCATGTTCGTGTATGAATTGCAACTAAGCTGATTTTCGGAATAGCGAAGCTCTTGTATGATACTACACTGATCAAGCTAAACCTATTCCTGCTGTCCTATCGAAGAACCTGGGGCGACTTGATTACAATTTTTAAATTGCTTAGGGATAAATTGCATCTGAAATGCCCTCATTTTTCTTGTCTTCCTAAAAGGAAAATTTACGAGAACACTCCATAAAAGGTCACAAGCCCAAGACAAATTACTTGTCAGCTGACTATCGACTTTCTCATCGAATCATGAACGAAAGGAATTCATTACCTCAGTGCATGGTTGAGGCTCCATCCGTCGGCTCTTTCAAAAGACAGTTGGATCACCATTGCCAGGACTAACACAGGCCATCAGGTTGAGGATACGACGGATATTCTAGTTTTACAACTAGCAACCAGTGGTATCTTCTATAATTGATCATTCCCGGCCAGAGGAAATCAGAAGTCAGACTACAAGAGGTAGGAAAGATATATTTGATACGTTAGCAATATATCGAGGAACCTTTACTATAAGCTGGCTAATGAACGTAGGAGCAGTGTCCCACGCCGAGTTGAAACGTGATCTGGTACGGATGCATGACCGAAAGCCTTCAGCTAAACAAGCCCACTTAAAAAACGTGGTCAGCATCCAATGTCGAACACTTAATGAGCTATTGATTTTGGGGAATTATTTACAGCTACAAGGTCTCCTGTTCTTTCCAAACTGTAACTGAACAAGTGATATCAGCCCCATCAGTAAACATTTTCAAGGGGAAACTGGACCTTCATTGTAAGGCAGTTTGTCAGGATTAACAAAGGTTCAACAACATACTATCTTTTTACTGTATACCGGAATGGCCGCCACATGCATTTTTTCAAGGTCGTAGAATGAAACGGCGCGCAGCTTCCAGCGAACCTGACTTTTTAGCTGTCCTAGTGAACTGGAATGCTTAAACCGCACGCCAAAATCCAAGACTTTTTCCTTCAAATCTCATTGGTTCGCACATAGTCTCGCCCTAAGACCATTCCTCATGTATCACAAGTTTAAATACAGTTTCAACCAAGTCTACAGTATTTAAATGTCTGTCAATTTATGGGAGGATTCTGATTCGGATGACAACCTACCAGCGGAATGGGAACAAACTAATCAGGATAATTTCATTACCTACTACAAGTGAGTTGAATTACTTGACGAATTCACCAAATATTTCGAAATGAAACTTCCCAAAATGTAATTAAGCTGTTGTGCTATAAAATGATATAACTTCTTATATTGTAACGTTCATTACGCCATTAATGAGCAGCAATAAGCATAACTAATATAAAACTTATCCATCTAAAATAGAATTGTTTTTACAATCTGTGAGTTGCAAATTACCGAATGTGAACTTCTGTGTTATTGAAATACGCCAGGAAATTCCTTTTGGTCCAACAAGCAAATTAAGATGAAAAGCTTTTTATTAATGAAGAATGTTTAAGGGAAACTTGATAAATCGAATCGATGAAGAAATAAAATCATAATTACCTTATCACATCGTAGTAACTGGATCCCCAATGTATTAGTCGAGTGTATGCCAATTAAGACGTAATATGTGATACACCTGCAGGCATTCATCATTTCAACCTGGATAAGATAGTTAAATATATCCTGGCAAATGTAGCTCCTACACGAAATTCGGTAGTCAAATGTTTATTCCATGTCTTGCTTAGAAAAGTCTTTTAGTTCTAACCACTAAAAGGTTTTACTTTCAACTTTTTTTACATATTTTGACTGTAAACAGCATGTAATCGGTTCGCGGTGGAAAGTCCCGATTCGTAAATACTTGCAATCCTATATTAAAAACATAAAACAAACATTTTATGCTGCCTTCACGTTCAGCATGTACAGTGTTAATTGGAAATTGCTATTTCGGAAAATAGAAAAATCTATCTAAATCCCACTTCCATTCAACAGGAGCTTGACGATAGTTGTGATAATTGACATCACATAAATATAACTCCGAAATTTTCTATAAGTCGATGTATTTGATGAATTAAAGCTGATAATACACATCAAACATAGACAAATGATAATGAAAATAATACTGTTATTCCGATAAATGACTGGGGTGTAAGGTGTTATTCACTACTCCACGATAAGAGCTAAGATGTTTACCATCGGAGTTAATGAGACTAAACTTTTTCATAAAATCTGAATATCGTTTTTCGTGTAGTGCATTTATATAAAAATTCCATGGTCAGTAAACTATCACTGGACCGTAGCCAAACTAAATGTATCCCTCTCTACGTTATGAAGTTGACCACCAGTTGCTGAATTATTTCTACGAATCTCGTCTGTAAGCTAAATAAATTTTAGAACTAAGTAGAAATATGAAGCTTAAAATGGTCGTTTTCTGTGGTCCTCTTAAATCTATCGACAAAAGAATATGTTAACAAGAATGTGATATTAGAAACAACTAGTGAATGTTAGGTTTACCTTTTGAGGTTCATTATCAAAAGTTGAACCATAAATTAAGTATCAATACCTTAATTATTTTATCACATTTAAAAAAGCCAGTGTAAACATTTTACCCTATTTGTTTATTTTGTGTAGTCGTTTGACTGGGCTTTCTCAAAGGCCTCATCCAATTTCAGGCAACATTAAACAATTACCAAATGTGTTGCCTAAAGGTTGGTCTTCGTGTTCCGATAGATCTGGAAGAACAATTTATTTAAAGTAAGAATCTTTGCAGATGTTGTTTGAATGGTAACCGACTTTTGTTTGTAACCAGATCAATTTTTCTTTATTTAGTAGCGCGGATTTAAGTTTTATAAAACTAGTTGACCTAATTAATCAATACGGGGAGATTTGTATCCAGTATGCTATAAAATGGTAGCACAGTTTCCTATAACTTTAACGATGTTGACAGGGATAAGAAAGAGCTTTATTGATCTTCGCGGCTGAATGTGTTAATTGTATATATAATTTTCTGTCGACAGTTCGGCTTTCAAAATTTGTCCAGTTCTGTCTCTATTAGTTTTTATCTCATGCCAACGTCTGAAACAAAATAGTCGACAGACAGTTTCTTTGTACGTAGGGGTCTCAGATCGCAATGTTCTTATTTTTTGATTAGCAATTCTTTATGAAGCTGATTCAATAATCATTGGTCCTAGATACTGTGCGAAAGTAATTGTTTGCCGATCTTCATGGGTATTGGGTAATACACCCAGTTTTGGCATACGAAGAGAAGAAAGCAACAAAATACAATAAATTTATCATAGTCTTCAAACATTGTCGTTCTTGTTTTTGGATGGAGATTTGTAGCTCATGACAATAATTGTGGGTTACTATGCTTCCTTGATCTATGTGGTTAGGTCGTGAAGCTCTAATAGTCTTTCTAGACAATAATTACTTCAGATAGAAGTAAGTCACTGGGATTTCTCCACAAGTGACTAACAGCATGTTTCATTAGAATTAGCTCTTCTCAATATTTGTCCGGTCGTTGTCTCCACCTTTATTTTCATTGTCTTTTCAGCTAACATGATTCTTATCCTCACGGCTGTTCATTATTTTTCCCAGTTGTTTAATAAACTAAATTCACTTTAACATATTTATTGACTGATAATTGAATTATGTTCTAAGCTATGGAAGATTCTGTGGTCTTACTTGGTTTACCTGACCTGGATTCCAAAGCGGAGATACGTTGTGGCGTTCGACAGCTAGTTGCTGTTTACGGAGATGAAAAATGAACCTCTTTGCCCGATCCTCTACCCCCTTTTTAGATACCTGTTAGCTACGTCAAATTAGTCAGGTAGTATATATATATATATAGTCGAAAAGGAGCGAACATCATCTAAGTGAGCATGAATTTCTTTCCACCAACTAACTACTTAACGTGTCATATATTCCTTAATAATAATTCTTCATTGTAGTCATTACAATTAACGTACTATCTTTATTGTCTGGATCTACTAAGATTAGGTTTACCAGTGTTTCCAGGTTAAAGTCTGAGCGAATTCTGTAGTAAGCATTTCTATCAACTCTTTTTTTTCTTTGAAACAGTTTAGAAACTGGCTGTTCAACTTATTCCGATCCTCGACTTGCTGCTGCTCGGTTGATCCACACTGCAAAGTCAATTAGAAGTACCCAACTTAAATTTGACAAATTCTCAAGTGTAAATGATGTAAGTTGGTTCTGTAAACAAGGTGTGTAAACTCAGCGTGGACTCAGTCATAGTCATAATGTAGAGCCTGGCATAAATTTGTGTTGGTCTGAGTTGCCATACCACAACGAGCCGAGATTAACATCATGAATAGGAGTCGAAACAATTGTATTAATAATAATAGAAGGACTAAACACTGCAAAAGTTATTCTGGAATGCTAAATGAAGGGCTATCGATTAAGAAATACTGGAACTCAAGGTATAGGGGAAGAATAAGAGTGAATGCATCTGCGTGATTGTGATCAATTCTGAGTCATTCCACCCAGAAAACTTTAACCACGTAGTCTGTATTTACCGAAATAGCTTAAGTAAACTGTGAAATCATAAACTGACATCTTGTTTAGGGTTTGACGGCCCCTAGCTTTCATCCGACCTACACTCATACCAGCAACTATCTAATTTTGCGATGGTCCGTCGTCACTCATGCGTAATATCTGTCAGTCAATAAAGATTTACTATTCTGTCAACCGATTTGTCATCTTTGCCATGTATCAAACCTCAAGATCACTTACTCGGTCGTTCCATTGTATGTATGCCCCCAAATGCCCTGGTACCTCCGAGAGTGGGGAGAGTCCGCCCTCCCTCTCGAAATGCTCTCACATCGCCACGCGTATATAGCCTCTGCCACGGAAGTCCTACTCACTGCCTTCTCGTGGCGGGGGTGTTGTTCACGAAATTGAGAGGACGAAAAGCGAATGTCCGGCGCTTTAACCGGGTTGGTGGATGTGGAGGATCCACCTAGGGGAGTTGGAATACGTTGATTCCAAACCAATGGTGCATATGGGCTCCAGTATCCTGAGGGAACGAATGGCGGAGGAACCTGTCATTGGTCAACGGCTACCATGGGACTGCATCTCCTCACGATGCTCCACTGCCTTGTGGGTTAGAGCTTCAGTTCAAAGGCTCGGGGTGTGGGCCCCTAAGAAAACCACCTGCTTCAGTTTGGGCACCTGGGCAGTATCACAGCCCTCACATAAATCGAACGATATTTGTGCCGCGCATATGTGTCTGGTGCTTCCTTGTACCAATATTTGTGTTTAAATAAATAAATAAAATTGTATGTGAACAATGCTTCAAAGACAGCCATAATCAGAAACTTACAGCCTACACATATTTCATAAATAATGTTTCACGGCTATATAATATTGCAGAGCAAAATGCTGCGCAATCTACTCTCCTATTAACTGGGAGACAGGTATTTTATTCATTTAAACACATAAACACTGGTACAAGGAGGGAACCAAATACATATGCGCCACACAATAACAATCAGGCCAGTAGTAGTTATCATTGATTTGTATAAGAGCTATGATATTTCCCAGGTGCTCAAACCAAAACACATGGTTTTCTTAGTGAACCACAACCGGAGCCTTTGACCTAAAGGTCTAATCCACAAGACAGTGGAGCAACGTCAGGAGATGCAGTGCTATGGTAGCCGGTGACCAACGATAGGTTCGTACACCATTTGTTCTCTCAGGATCCTGGGGCCCATGTGCACCATTCACGTTCTCCACCGCTCATCAACCCGTTTCACTTCTCTCTCCTCTTCGCTTCGTTCCTCTGATTGTCTGTCCAGGTCAATGAGTGTACGAGATAAACGTATTCAAACCTCATTCTCGTATTTGACTTATTTAATTGCGTTATTCACTAAAGCGATTTGAGTCTAATATTAATAACGTATATTTTGGAATTCATTACCCAAATATAATGGCAGTGAGTCTAGTATAAATATTTTTAAAATGTATTAATCGTTTTATTTTCATGATAATTTGGGGATATTTTCTCTTTTTGTAGATTCTATTGAATAAAGATCTCCGTGGGTTTTACGTTGTTGTTACAAATTCAGGATGTGGTCTTGGTTTATCGATCGCTGTTCATCTCGTCCAATGTGGAGCTACTGTTATATGCGCTTGTACTAAATGTCCAAAAAATGCTATTCCTGTATTTGACAAAACGAAGGCATATTATGAAGGCAATATCATTGTAGACTTAACTTTAAAGTCAAATAATAAAGAATCAGGTCGACTTTATTGGATACCGTATAATCCTTTAGAGTTACGTAGCATCATACAATCCGTTCACGTGAGTCGTCTCCACTTTATGTCAAACGGTTATTTATTCGATGAAAAATCTTCAGTCCTTTAATTTTTTCGTATAAAGAAGGTCCACGATGATAGACTTGCGTAGATAACGAAATAGTGAGATAGTTACTACTGTTTTACGAAATTAGCTACCACTGAAATTTCCTATCATCAAGCTACAGGGGTCGCTTGACTATAAAATACAGGCACACCAAAATGAAAGCCTTAGATGTAACATTTCCATACAGATTTTCTTGATATCCATTACATCAATATTTTAATACTTTCCCACAATATTCATCTTTTAAATTCTGCAATTAAATTAAATCATCAGCTGTTTTCATGAAGATTTTTTTACAATTTAAAAATAACTTTTATGAATAATCGGCATCAGTTAGTAAAGAAATAAAAGTCATTGTCCACTAAAAGGCCAGTTTGTTCTTTTGACTGACTTCATGTGTCATTTCCTGAAGTTCATGAGCTATAAGGTTAACTAAATTGAATTTAAAGTGGTAATTTATACTGTACTGCAAACTAATAGAATTGAAAACCATTCAAAACTCATTGGGCAAATAGTATCATATTCTTCGTGAGATCTAATGGTGTTGAATTCGAACATTTACATACATACATTATGTATTTCATGGTAGCACACCACTCAGACAAAACAGTTGTTCCTTTTTTTACAGCAAATATCTGTTCATGGTAAAAAATTACTCCCAGATTAAACTATATTTTACTTCTTTCAGCGAAATATTTTCCTTTAAACTGTAGATATTACAGTCATTGAACTGGCCTGTTCATGCGTGTATCATAACTGATGATTTGCTCCCTCCTTTCTCTGGGTGGAATTTCTTTCAGTCTTTTAAAAGGTAATTCTTATTGTTGTTGTTAGTCTAAGTTCTATTGTGGTCAATATGGTCGGTTTGACAAACCATAAGATTTTCAATGTAAAATATCCTGACCGTTGTTGCTACTTTGACGTGGTGGTCGGGCTTGCCTATCGTGATGAAACAATCGTTCCTCAAGGTCCTACCACGCCAGGCAGGTCAGTTGAAGAGCGGTAAGACTAAAAGCAATACACTCAAGGTCCGAGGGCGAAGTTTTACTGCTGACTGTACAGAGGTGTGACGGCAGTAGGTTGTTTCCTTCAGACAACCAGCATAACAGCAATGCTGTCTTCCCACAAGGAGGGGTAGGTTTAGAAAAAGTCGACCCTAAAAATGCGCACCTCATCTTATCCCACGGATATCTGCCTCCGACAGTAAGGTTTAAACAAGTACGGAGCTAACACAAAAAGTGTGTGACCGACCTCAAGCAGTTGTCCCTTGGGCACTGCGGTCACTCTCAGGTCACTATGACCAACCTTAACCCAATTTCCTTTCCAGGTACCTCTAGAAGAACTCTTCCACGGTGTGGGCGACCGGGAAGTGATAACCGCCCTCATACCTCTAACAGCACTCAAGATCACTGTATTCATAATCAATCCCCTTTAATTACCATTATTCCTCCTACCTCGACTTTCAACACTAAACTACCTCTTTCGGCTTCCTTCTCAAGTGTCACCATAGCCAACGATTCTAGTGCGCAAAACCACTGTCCCAAGTCAACCGAAATCTCGCTCCAAACTACACACTGGAGCCTTCAAAGTACGCACCCTATGTCAAATGGGTGGGCAGGCCTCCATTGCTAAGACCACAAAATCTCGTACCATTTGCGACTGCTGTGTCTCCGAAACATGCATACAGGATCCTAATGTGGTCATTTACTTGACCTCACCTCGCCCGAATGGAGAGCCGACGAGATACACCCTCCGTGTTTCTGGCTACCCGATGGCTAGTTCTCGTGGACTTGCAGGTGCAGACATAGCACTTAGTACGAGAGCAGAACAAACACTATTGGGGTCCTACTCACTGCCTTCTCGTGGCATTACTGTTGCTTACCAAACTTAGAGAGCGAAAAGCGGATGTCCGGCGCTTTAACCGGGTTGGTGGACATGGTAAGTTCACCTAGGGGAGTTGGAAAACCCTGATTCCAAACCAGTGGTGCACATGGGCTCCAGTATCCTGAGGGAACGAATGGCGGAGGAACCTGTCATTGGTCAACGGCTACCATGGGACTGCATCTCCTCACGATGCTCCACTGCCTTGTGGGTTAGATCTTCAGTTCAAAGGCTCGGGGTGTGGGCCCCTAAGAAAACCACCTGCTTCAGTCTGGGCACCTGAGCAGTATCATAGCCCTCACACAAATCGAGTGAGATTTGTGAGGCGCATATTTATCTGGTGCTTCCTTGTACCATTATTTATGTGTTTAAATAAATAAATAAATAAACTATTAGGGTGGGTTCTCGTTAACAGTCACCCATGTATTGTTTGGCTAAACGGCCCTGTAAGAACTCAGAAAGATAGGGACACACGTCGTTGACTTTTCATCATTTCTGCCTGCGCTCCCACTGACTGCAGCCCTGTTGACGTGAAAGATCACTTTTACAGGAAGCTCTCTGAGCTTCTTCAAAAAGCTAAAAGCCCAGACATAGTGACTTTAATGCCCAAGTCGCTAGCTTAAACCAAACAGAAAGACGTTTAAGTGGGTATTTTAGTATCTCGGCTCGGCGAACAAATAATGGTGACCGTTTACTGCAACTGTGCTCAGACAGTCGTTTATTTTTGACATATAATAATTGTAAGCATAAGGAGAGACATCGTCTAACATGGCGACCACCTGCAGCAAACCAACGGTGGACTCAAATAGACCATATTGCCATCAGTCATCCTTGGAGAGGCTCGATAGACGACTGTACCTCGCTCTGGAATACATGTTTAGACTGTGATCATGCTCTAATACGAACACGTATTTGCTTGCGCTTCACTGGACGCAGAAAAGCCACATTAAGAAAGTTCATTACAGTTGAACTCAACGATGAGAAAGCTAAAGGTAAATTCCATGAAGTCACAATTTAGCAATTTTGAAAATGAGGCTGAACCAGATATTGCCTGGAAATATATATGAACAGCTGTGGAAAAAACAGCGACCTCTATTGCACTGATAGACTCACGTAAACTTATCACATCAGGCTCCGAACACGATGAAGATTGAAAATAAATCAAATATAGGTTAATCCAAAGTCTACGGAACGATCGTGAGCTGTGGTGGGCAACGAAAGCAAAAGAAACGGAAAAGGCAGTGGCTGTGGGCAACACCAGACAACTCTTCAAACTAATAAAAGAAACCCGGATCGAGAAGTCAAGTGTAAGTGAGACGACCTCGGAAAAAGAGGACACTCTTATCTGCTTTCAGTCTAGACGTTTAGAACGACGGGTGGAACACTTTAAGAAGCAGATTAGCTGGCATTCATCTACTCCACAGTACTCAACATCTCCAAACAACCTGAATGGAACATTGAAATAGGCCCCTTGACTCTAAGTGAAGTTTAAAAACTACATCTAATCTGAAATGAGGAAGAGCAGCTGGTCCAGATGGATTGGCTTCAGAGGTCTTTAAATATGGTGCTCCAGTTTTAGTGATTAGATTGACTAATATTTTAGCTAAAATGTGGGAGTTGGACGTAATCCCATCTGACTGGTCGCAACCACTGATTGTGCCAATATATAAGAAGGGGTCAAAATCATCCTGTGATAACCATATAGGGATTAGTTTGACTAATATAACATCTAAACTACAGCCTTAATAATTATCGGACACCTAACTAAGACTCGTGAACTGCAAATACGAGTATATCAGGCTGGCTTCAGACTTGGTCGTGGCTGCATCGAGCACATATTCATCATTCGTCAGGTTTTAGAACACAGGAATACTTATCGGCGTCGGACAATGGTGGTCTTTTTTGACTTTAAAGCAGCATTCGACTCTGTAGACCAAGAGGTTCTGTGGAAGTGTCTGTCATTGAAAGGTGTACCTCAGAAGTACATAAACCTTGTGAAATCTCTTTACTCGAACACTACCAGTTGAGTGAGAGCTTACGGCGAACTGTCATATGATTTTGCAACCTCAAGCGGTGTCCTACAAGGTTGTTCACTATCTCCATTTCTGTTTAACTTCATCATAGACCTACCGCTGGAAGTAACATTCTCGTCGACTGAATTTTCAGGAATTGATCTACCAGGAGGTCTACTTATTGACTTAGAATACGTCGATGACATAGTCCTGTTTGGTGAAAACGCTGACAAAATACAGAGTCTTTTGGTAGCACTGAGCAACAATGCCAGAATGTTTGGGTTGTTTCTCCCAATCTAAATAGGAATTGTTGCTCCAGAACTGGCCTGCATCAACACCTGAACTAAGGATAGGGAGTGAAGTAGTCGAACGCGTCGACAACTTCACTTACCTTTGAAGTCTGATCAGTTTTATTGGGTTGGTGTCTGATGAGATCTCTGCATTTATTCGTTTGGCTTTGCCAACTTACATCATCTATGGAAAAGGCGAGATATCCATCTATCAATTAACAGATGAATATACTGCGCAGCACTTCGTGCTGTTTTACTTCACAGCTGCGAAACGTGGCCATTAAGAGTAGACGATTCTCGTAAGTTACTAGTATTTGATTACAGATGTCTTAGAAATATTTTCAGCATCTGCTGGGATCACCGGGTAATTAATAGTGAGGTTAGACTCAGGGTATTAGGGAATGATGACAAATCAGTTGATGAGGTTGTGAATCTACATCGATCGAGAGGGTTGGGCCACGTATTACGCATGCTCAACCACCGATTACCACGACGCGCAATGCTGACTAGTATTGGGGATGGTTGGAAGAAAGTAAAGAGTGGCCAAGCCAAAACGTGACGTCAGTCCTCGAAGTCACTAACTATAAATCTGAGCCATGTTAGTATATGCAGACTACTTGGCTGGAGTCCGCGCGACTATCGCAACCAGTGGTTGGAGACTGTGGGTGACATGGTTCAGAATCGATCACAATGGAGTAGGTGTATACACTCTCTGACTTCTCTTAAACTATAAGATTAAAATTGCTTCATATCTGTCTTTCTTCCTGTACTATATCCTTATATACAATCTTGTTTTATATATTTACCACTATTAAATTAACTACTTGTATGAATTCGGTGTTGACCTTGTTGTGCTAATGAGGTATGGCAACTTGGACCGATGCATATATGTGCCTGGTCCTACGTTGTAGTTGACTGACTTGCTACTCATTCTCTTGATGTCTGCTTCCGATTCCCGACGCAATGTTTTCCTTGGTCTTCCTTTGTTCCTTTTCCCTTCAGGACTTCAAGTTAGGACTTGCCTCGTGATGTCGTTTGTTGATTTCCGAAGGTCAAACGCCTTCTCATAGTCAAGGAAGTTCATGTACAGTGATTAAAATTGCTTCATATCTTTCTTTCTTCTTGTATTGCACCCTTATGTACAATCTTGTTTTATATATTACCACCAATAAATTAATTACTTCTATGAATTCGGAGTTCATCTTGTTGTGTTAATGAGGTATGGCAACTTGAACCGATGCATATATGTGCCTGGTTCTACGTTGTGGCTGACTGACAATGTAAAATACAATGTATCCATAACTTGGTGAAACGGCATTGAAATATAATTTTTAAGATTGCGGTCATGCTGTAACGTTTATAATCACTAGGGGTCATTCATTTTGTGGTTAATAAAGTAAACATTTTATTGTAAGAAAAAATACGTAATTACACCTGAGAATCATATTAACAATATAATTTCGGCAAACATTTATAGCACTATCATTTCCTCGTACTTCACTGATGTAAAGTTCAGCAGTTTTGTCATGTTCTATATTATCACTGAATAACTGACTGAAATATACTTATATATAATACAGAATCTGTACTGTAAAGATTAGCAGTACCATTTGGTTTCATAGTTCAGAGAGACTGGTGTGCATTATAATGGGTTTGTAGTCAGTTCTTTAAATTGCAGTAGCCTTGGTAATACACTTTACTTAATTGCTAAAAATGTATTTTCATCATTTATCTATGCTATACTCAAAGCTTTTTGCAGCGATTTCAAATAAAATCTATCAACTACTATAAAACATAAATACTGTATTGCCTAATAAGTAATTGTTATTTCCTTTGTTTGTTCTGAATGATTATTAATGATTATGTTTAGTGAAAACATTTTATTTAGGTGATTTTCATTTTAATCACACTGTTTTTAAAATCAACTTGCCTAATTCCTACTTCGTTTTGTATTTACTTTGATTGTAGGATAGTGTCTTGTTTGCGTGCAATGATTCCTCCTAAAGTTTCATCCTGGTTTAAATCTATTTTCAAGTTTGTAACAAACTATGAGATACAAGTATTCAATTGGTTTGGGAAAAAAATATTTCCTGCATGGATTCCTGCTTATTCATGCGAATGTTCATTTAAACATTTTCCATGTTTAACTTCTGACGGATTTGAAGTATCAATGCAATGTAATTATTTAGCTCCTGCCTTATTTTTGGAACGATTGTTAAAAGCGAGATTTGTTGATTCTTCACCTTCTCTTTTAACTACTTCACCAGAAAAAACATTTGACAGCTCAACTATGCGTGTGGTGATAGTTTCATCAGAGATTCACAAGTAAGCTTCACTATAAAATAATTTATTTATGTTTAATATTTACTATAAAATAATTCTCAAGTTATTGATTAAAAGTTAAAATAGAATAAGCTAACAGTTGTTTACATTAGCCTAGTTGTATATTTCTATATCAGTGATCGTCCGCTACTGAACCGAAACCATGAAGTAAGGTAATTACGAAATGCCACATTCATCAATAAGGTTAAATCTTTCTGTATTCGTGGCTTACGTAATTTACATGACACCTGAGGTAGCGTTCTTAGGTCTGGTCCTTCGAATTGCTGATAATCTTCATTTCTAATTCATTCAGCAGCCCATTTGTGATGAAAATTCTATCTTGTCTTAAAGAACTCAGATCGCTGACAGGTTGGACTTTGAATGCTGCCAACTAATATGGAATCTGAATCAAATTTTCTAGAACGTTGTGTGCTATTCAAAATGTCCAACTTCACCAACCGTACATCGATGCAGATTGGAAAACTGGTACGTTTGGCTTTGTTTTGGGAAAGCCCTAAGATTGGTGTTCGCTTTATTTTGGAGATCCGTAATCAAAACTCTAGCGAAGCACTTCAAATTGCTTTCCATCTATCTGTGTGAAAAGCTTGTTTCACCTACGTTTATCCGTGGATCCTGCGGCATTTCCGTTCAGTGTGGCTGATGTTGATGGTACATTAAGCATCAGAAAAGTGACAAAGCTTATCCATCGGATTTCTATTAAAAATCATTTTTGTACCGTCGGATTAACAAACTTTACCAAAAGGAGAATAAACCTGTGTGGAAAACTATGTCTTCTCTCAATCTTCGCCTACTCCTCGACTGATTGCATCCAGGAAGCAGTCAAGAATAAGTTGTACTACCAGTTAAATGGTCTCAAGAAAGTATGTTCGGCAGATAGCGTGGTACTAACAGGATATCTGAATCCACAGATCGGGCATCTAAGCACAGATAGAAGTCTCTTGGGTGGCCGATGGGAACTCGTTGATTTCAGGTCAGATAATAGTTACCGTCTTCTGAAGCATTGCGCAGACCATAATAAATTTCTGGTCAACACCAACTTTCAGTACAGTCGTCCCCGATGTACTGGTTGGCATCCTTCGTCTGCATCTGAAGCCTAGATTAAGACTGAGTACATCACGGCCAGCTACCGCTGACATGGTTTTTCACAAGACTGTCGCTTGTGGGTTAGAGCTTTACTTCAAAGGCTCCGGGTGTGGGCCCCTAAGAAAAATATTTGCTTCAGTTTGGGCACCTGGGCAGTATCACAGCCCTCACACAAATCGAATGAGATTTGTGCGGCGCATATGTATTCGGTGCTCCTTTGTACCAATATTTGTGTTCAAATAAATAAATAAACTCTGGGATTGTGTACTGAAAAGAGTTCTAGCTGGCAGCTTGTTAACATCTTGAAGGCTCTGTATACAAGCAGGTAAGGCAGAGTGAGGGCATGTAATCCCTCCTCGTCATTGTCCCATCCCAATAGTAAGGTTAGACGGGATTCTCTAATCTCATTATTTCTTTTCAACCTCGCCATCAATGACATTCTGAAAGCAGTTCTGATGGAAGTAGGTAATTGTATTATGGATCTGTTACGTGGAGAAAAACTTTTCTACTTCCAACATACGCATAGTATTCAAGCTAATTAGTTGACAATAAGTCTCTGTAGCTATTACACGAATATCACACCTTCTGAATAAAAAATGGTTGTGCGAAACTTGCAGAAAACTGTGTCTCCAATTACTCTTTGTAACAATGCGTTAAAAGTAGTGGAAAGGTCCGTAAATCTGGTTTGTGGTGTGACAAATGAAATCAGTTTGCATTTAGTGATAGCCAGAACAGTCCATGCCAATGTGGGTCATGTTTGGTTCCATTGCGGTGTTAGTTTGACTGTAAAAGGTCGGGTTTTCAACCTGTTAGTGACAGTGACTTTGCTCTAGCTGTGTGAAACCTGGTCTTTACGAGATGTTAGGAAACTTTCTGAATTCGATCATCATTGCTTTGGAGGATCACTTATATCCAGTGGCAGCACTATGTTAGTGATGTTAAGATTCGTCACAGTGACTAATTCAGTCTTTGTCACCATCTTGAAACACTGGCCGTGGTTGCTTGGAGATGTTTTACAAGCTTCATTCCAACAGCTTCCACTTCGTCCAATCATTGCCAGGTGGGAAAAGAGGTTAGATGGTAAAATTATAACATAGAACTGTGATATGAAAGTTGTACAAACTAGCATCTTTCATTTTAACACGTGTCCTCCGTTGGAGTGATAGAGATAGTGCAACTCCGGTTTTGAATGTTATCAGTTATAACTCAGAATGTGAACCAACGGCGATTCTGCCGTGGATTCCTTCCACATTCTTCATAAAAGTAAGAGAAACTACCTTAATTGAGTTATTTCTGGGTTTTTTATCTGAGCTGTTTTCCATACTATACTACTATCGTTCACTTTTTATTTTTGTTTTTGTTTTTGATTATACTCAACCTCCTTCCTCTTCTATTTCTTTATAATTTCATGTCCTTATTTGTGTATACTTATGATGGTGCGCATTTGCACCACTATTTATGTGTTTTAAATAAATAATTGCAGTTTATCAGAAATTGCTTTACGTCGATTTATTTTTTGAGCTAATATGATTTAAGTTGTACGCTTGTGATACTTCTGAAAACTGGCTTACATGTTGTGATAATTAGTTTATTTGGTTTAACTAATGTAAATGCAAAGTGACCAGATACTTGTGTCGTAACCGAGCTTGTATGATCAGGCCTTCTATCATCAAGGTAGTTGTATTGTTGGTTAGGCTAGATTGGTTGTAGAGTTCTGATGCCTTTCTATTGACTAATGATCTAATAACCCTTTTTTACCAATAACTCAATAACAGTAAGATAACTACCGAGATCAGTACTTAACTCCTATAGTTCCGGGATGCAACTCTCCCCCTCTCTTCTGTCCGACAAACAGAATGGGACAAAAATATGACGGGCGGTTGAATCTCTATTGTACAGTTTATTTCGTAACTTAAAATTCGTGTGACTATACAGACCGGTTGCCTGACTACACTGCAGCATAAAAAGGAAAATACAATGAACACATGGCTACACCATAAGTGAAAGAGATCTAATTAATAGTTCTGTAGTAAATTCAAAGTAACTTAGGGAAAGCACAACACAGTACGGTGGATTATGAACCCGACAAGAACTCACAAGCATGAGAATATAAGAAAATAATTCAAGTGTTTAATAATTATCCGATAGAAAATGTGCACTAATTCTCCGTGAGGTATTTCCAAAAGTTACAACATTCACCCCATTATATCAGAACAACTACTTTGAAGTTCAGAAGTTAACTAGGTGTATGAGTAATAGTAACAAAAATTAACCTTGAACAGCATACTTTTTAGAAAAGGGTCTCTCAAAGCTAAATTATTCATTTACCAAATAAACCCATTGTGTTGTTGGTGCAAAATTATGAATATTCAGATGAATTTTTCTTAACATTTATTAAAGCTGCACGATGATATTTAATTCAATATATATATATAGTTAGTTAGAACACAGGATGGCATTGGATCATAAATTGTTCCCAAATATCGAAAAGAAGATTATGTGATGAAGTTAATTGATAATAAAGGGATAGTAAGATGAAAATAGTTTTTAGATGAGGGGTTCTTGTGATGAACATTAAGGAAAAACAATTGATTCCTGTAATTATGTTCGATCAATTATTCTGGAAAAACGTCATGGCAATTGATTATTGAGCACAGAAAATGAAAAGATTGTGATTCATGCTAGAATGAAACCAAACATGGTGTTTAACTTTGAATTGGAGAAATAATAAAGCCCCTGAAATACGAACGTTTTTAGTTTGCATTCCCTTCAAGACACTTCTTTTGACTGTATGGCTGACTTTGAAAGGCGTTTCTGGTTGGACAACATGAACAGAATTCACGAGGTGTACTGAAAATTATCTATTGATTGAGTTTGACATCTAGTTTGAGTAGTGTTAGGTGTGCTTCGAAAGATCTCTCTAGTATCTGATTATGTGCCTTAAGAGCATCCCTCGTGTATTTCGGGACCACTGAGTGAGGGCTGGCGAGATCACTCATGGGGTACTAGGTAAATATGGGAAATCGGTTGGTTTTGTAGTGAATCTTCGCCAACTTAGGTGGTTAGGACATGTTTGACGTATACCCAACCACCTCCTACCTTGATGGGTATGTTATCTGGTGTTGGAGTAAGTTGGAAGGAAGCTAGGGGCGGCCAAATCAAAACAATACTGGTCTATTAGGTCGTGGACAAATGTAATGAACCGTGTTAGCAAGTATTAACTACCTGGTCGGAGTCTACGTGATCATTGTTACCAGTGATTAGGTACTCTGAATGACATTGCTCAAAAATCAATTCAATTTGCAACAGTTTGTGTTATTCCGCTGTTGGCACTTTTGACTGGAACTCGATCAGTTTTAGTCATTCTCTGCAGACTGCCTCGACTTAACACGTTGGTAAAGATTAGATGGAATGTAAGTTGCAGTGAAATCCAAGACGCTCGTTTTGCTCTATTTGGGGCTCATCAGTTGGGTGTGCCTGGATCCCAGGTTTGATATTATATCCGTCGCATAAGTGAGTGGATGTCTGGACTCAGTAGCTAAGTGGATAACGCGGTGGCGTTTGAAGCAAACGGTAATACGTTCAAGTCTCCGAGTGAACACCAAATATGGGTTGCATGTACACCCAGCTGACGAGTCCCAAACCAGACGAAATAAGCGTCCTGGATCCCACTGCTAGTCACATTCCATATATTATATGGTTCAAAATCGTTTGCAATGGCATAGGGTGCATTCTTTGCCGTTCTTTAGATCCTCAGTTTGATAATTTAACATAATTTTCTATTTCAGTGGTTTGTATTTTATTTTGGGTCGTATCTCCAATGCATTATGTTTTCTATTACCACTAATACTGTTACTACCTCTACTACTTTGTGATTTGCTCTAACAGCTTTCTACTGCAGTGATAATGGTTTATGGCAACGTAGACCGATGTACATATGTACCAGGTTCTATGCTGAGTTTGACTGACTGACTATTGTCATTCTTATCACTTTTTTCAAGTTTTCAAAGCATCAAGGTCATCTATAATCCTATAAATACCTATCCTTGTACATAAGTTAGCATTCGGAGTGTAGGTCCTCCTATGCTTCCCGATTTCTATTTTGGTATCATGATTGGGAAATTTCTAGAGACTAAGGGAGTCGGCGCCTAATCAGATACAAAATTTATAAGCGATTGCACATTAAATTAGTTGTCTCAGTATCCGTAACCTTGTTTTTACATATAATGTTGTTTGTCAGTCTGAACTCTATCATTTGACTCCTAATTTTTTTATTCTTCAATGTCTTCAAATGAATTTCTTCATTTTTTAGAGAGAGTAATTTGCAACACTGTATTAAAAAACTGGATATACCAAAGATGTTTCAGACAATCCCAACATTATTGCATGACACCATGAGACAATATGCGAATTCCAAACTATGTATGTTATTATTTATTCGTGAATATCACCAACTTATCCGTCATTTTAGTGAAACTAGCACAAATTTATCCACTATACCTACGATATTTACTTGTACTGGATGTGATCCATTTAGTGTGTATTGCAGCAAAAAATTCTTAGTGAATCTTTATTACTGGTCTATCAAAAATCCATTGCTTTTGATATTACAAATTGTATACCTTTTATCAAGACCATTTGGTATGTCTTTGGTAAGTTGGAAACTTTTTAGCTCCTAATTACTGTTTACTATTTAAATAGGTAGCAGGAATAGACGCACATGTTAATTCACATGATTAATTAATATTATAAATTCTGTTCATGTTTTAACATTTTCATTAATCTGTTTGAGTTGAATGACTGCAATTTATGATACACCAAACGCATTTTGCATGCATATGAGTGAATGTTACGTACAAAATAACTAAGCTAGTTTAATGACCTACAATCCAGATTAAATCCTTGGACTTTATCCTATATACCTACAGTTGAGAATTTTGTTAAGATGGAGTATTTTATTAGTCATCATTATAGACGGTAAATGCAATGATAAACACATGGACTTCGGGGGACAAAAGATGGGTATGTGGTTTTATGGTCCTTAATTTGGGTTTCTCTATTTCAAAATGTCGAAATATTGATTTGGAAATCCCTGTAGCAGATATCAACTTAATTCTGGGGTAGGAAAAACACGGACAAGGAAAATCATCCAACGATTATTTCCACGGGATAAAATATCTGTTGGACAATTCTACGAACCCAATTTTCGAATGTTGTACCTGAATAAATCATCGTCAGTTACAACGTAGAACTTCGTACGTACGTACACCAGTTCGAGTTGCCATACCACATTAGCACAGAGATCCAGTTGTCGATTCAAATCCCATAGTGGTAGGAGTAGTAAGAGTATAAACAGTAATCCAAAAGATTAGGGTTTGATAATGTTATTCAATGAGTATAATCCAGTGGAATAAATTTGGTAAGAGAAAAAAGATGGAGACATGAATAATTCAGATTAGAATTTGGCAGAACACAAAGAGTGGATGCACCTTCGCCATTGCAAACGATTTTGAGCCATGTCATTCAAGGTCTCTAACCATCGAATGCTATCATCTCGCGCATCCCAACCAGGTAGTCTACACCTACCAACATGGCTCAGTCCACTTGTCAGTGACTCCATGGATTTGTGCCATGTTTTGGTCTGGCCGCCCCTAACTTTCTTTCAACATACTCCTACACCATGAAACATTGCACGTCGGGGCAGTCGGTGGTTGGGCATACGTCACATGTGCCCCAGCCATCTCAGCTGATGAAGTTTCACTACTCCATCAATCGATTTTCCATCCTTAACTAGTACCCGTTTCCTAACAACTCCATTACTTACTCGGTGGTCCCAGGATATACGATTATTGCTTCGAAGACACCGGTGATCGAATACTAGTAGCCTACGAATATCCTCTACTATTATCGGCCATGTTTCACTGCCATAAAGTAGGACGGAACGAACTGCTGCGCAGTAAACCCGTCCTTTGGTTGCTTGGCGGATATCTCGCCTACGCCATAAATGACGCAATTTGGCGAAAGCTAGACGAGCCTTCTGTATCCGTGCTGAGATTTCGTCATACACCAAGGGCTGATGAGACTCCCAAGATAAGTGAAGTGGTCAACACGCTCAACTACTTCACTCCCTATCATTAGTTCGGGCGTCGATGCAACCCAATCCTGAAGTAAAATTTTGCATTTCGAGGGAGAGAACCGCATCCCGAACATGCATGTAAACTGCTTATAGTGGTCAGAAGACTCTGCATTTTGTCAGAGTCTTCACCGAATAAAACTATGTCGTCGGTGTATTCTAAGTCAACAAGTGAGCCTCCCGGCAAAAATTCAACTCCTGAAGGTTGAGATAATGAAAGTGTAATCGCTAAAAGCATGTCAATGACAAAGTTAAACAAGAATGGCGAGAATGGACAGCCCTGACGAACACCACTTGAGGTAACCAATTTTGATGACAGTTCGCCATAGGCTCTAACTCGACCAGTTGTGTTCGAATAGAGAGCCATTATGAAGTTAATGTACTTCTTTGGTACTCCTTTCAGTGACAAACACTGCCATAGAACCTCACGATCAACGGAGTCAAATGCCACCTTAAGGTCAAGAAGTACTACAATTGTGGGACGTCTGAATGTGTGTCTATGTTCTTGGACTTGACGTAGAGTGAATATCTGGTCTATACAACCACGTCCAGGTCGAAAACCAGCCTGGTTTTCTCTAGTCTGCTCTTCACGAGCTTTGGTTAGGCGTCCAAGTATTATTGAAGCTAATATTTTAGACACTATATTAGTCAAACTGATTCCTCTGTGATTGTCACAGGGGGACTTTTGTCCTTTCTTATAGACTGGCACAATCAGTGATTGGGACCAGTCAGATGGAATTACGTCCAGTTCCCAGGTTCAACCTAAGACCTCAGTCAATCTCGCTGCTAGTACTGGACCACCATCCTTAAAAATATCAGGAATAAACCTGTCAGGGCCTGCTGCTCTCCCTCTCATCAGATTTCCTATAGCTTTTTCAACCTCGTAGAGAGTCGGAGGACTTACATCAATTTGCCATTCAGGACGACTGGAGATCGTGGGTAATTGAAGTGTGGCTGAAAGCCAGTTGAACTGATCCTTAAAGTGTTCTGCCCATCGATCCAATTTCCTGGATTGAAAGTGAATGATATGTCCATCTTTATCTGAGATGGTTTCACTGATACTTGGGTTCCTAACACCGGTATCTTTAACAAGTCTGCTGTTACCTATTACCGCTGCCTTTTCCATCTCTCTTGCTTTCGCTACCCACCACTGTTCACGATCATTGCGTAGGCTTCTTATTAGCCTGCGCTTAAGCTGATTCCGCTCTTCGTTATGTTCAGAGCCAGATGATGAGTTTACGAGCATCTATCAATACGGTAGATGCTCCCGAGACGCATTGTTTCTCCCTAATCTTATGGTTTACCTTACTAGCCCCCCCAAATGCCCTGGTACAGCCGAGAGTGGGGGGAGTCCGCCCTCCCTCTCGAAATGCTGTCACATCGCCACGCGAATATATAGCCTCTGCCACGGAAGTTCTACTCACTGCCTTCTCGTGGCGGGGGTGTTGTTCACGAAATTGAGAGGACGAAAAGCGAATGTCCGGCGCTTTAACCGAGTTGGTGGACGTAGTGTCCACCTAGAGGAGTTGGGAAACCCTGATTCCAAACCAATGGTGCACGTGGGCTGGCTCCAATTTCCTGAGGGAACAAATGGCGTATGAAACGATTGTTGGTCACCGGCTACCACGGGACTGCATCTCCTCACGATGCTCCACTGCCTTGTGGATTAGACCTTCAGGTCAAAGGCTCGGGGTGTGGCCCCCTAAGAAAACCACCTGTTTCAGTTTGGGCATTTCAGCAGTATCACAGCCCTCACACGTATCAAATGAGATTTGTGAGGCGCATATTTATCTGGTGCCTCCTTGTACCAATATTTATGTGTTTAAATAAAATAAAAAATACCTTACTAGCAGATATCACTGCTTTTTCCACAGCTTTTCGGATGTCATTCCACGCTGCTTCGAGGTGGGCATAACTTACATGGCTGCCTAGCTGTTTTTCCAGTTGTTCCTGAAATATATTCTTAGCTTGCCCATCATTAGGTATAACCCTAAGAGGTTACCCTGCAGTATCTTTCCTACGTCCAGTAAGACGCAGACAGATACGTGCTCACACTAAAGCATGATCTGAGTCTAAACATGTGCTCCAGAATGAGCGACAGTCTTCTATCGAGCTCCTCCATCGGTGGCTGATAGCGATGTGATCTAGTTGGGAAGAATTCGGGGGCCGCCATTTCAGAAGATGTTTTGTCCTTATGCTTAAAGTTAGTATTTGCAAGAAACAGGCGGTTGTCTAAGCATAGTTGCAACAGACAGTCGCCATTATCTATTCTTTGAGCCCCGATACCATAAGATCCACCAAGGTGTCTTTCCCTTTCACTTAGTTTAACTATTTGAGTATAAAAGTTACCAGCCACTATTACTACATCAGAACGCCTAGCTTTTCGGAGAAGGTCGGAAAGTTTCCGGTAAAACTCATGTTTTACACTATCTGAGCTGCAGTCAGTGGGTGAGTAGGCAGAGACGACGAAGAGGCAACGACGAGTGTCCCTATCTTTCCGAGTCCTTACTGATCCCTTTAGTCGGACAGCGCATAGACGACTGTCTACTGGGATCCAGTCTAAAAGATCTAGTTCTGCCCTAGGACTTAATGCTATACCTACTCCAGCGAGGGCCCCCAAATGCCCTGGTACGGCCGAGAGTGGGGAGAGTCTACTTTCCCTCTCGAAATGCTCTCACATGGCCAGCGAATATATAGCCTCTGCCAGGGAAGTCCTACTCATTGCCTTCTCGTGGCGGGGGTGTTGTTTACGAAAGTGAGAGGACGAAAAGCGAATGTCCGGCGCTATAACCGGATTGGTGGACACGGAGGGTCCACCTAGGGGAGTTGGAAAACCCTGATTCCAAACCAATGGTGCACATGGGCTCCAGTATCCTGATGGAACGAATGGCGGAAGAACCTGCTGTTGGTCAACGGCAACCATGGGACTGCATCTCCTCACGATGCTCCACTGCCTTGTGGATCAGACCTTTAGGTCAAAGGCTCGGGGTGTGGTCCCCTAAGAAAACCACCTGCTTCGGTTTGGGCACCCGGGCAGTATCACAGCCCACACACAAACAAATGAATGAAATTATGAACTCTATTGACGATATCCCTGGTCATACTAAAAGCAAGACAATTAACATTATTATTATTATTACCTTTATTATTATTATTATTATTACTTACCATATCGCTAATTCACCCCCTTTTATCCCCAATTTGTGTAACCTTACTCTTCAACTTATGCAGCAGCTCGCTCTTGGTGGAAAATCTGTCTTATCTAAACGATCTCCAGTCACTGTCTGGTTGAAAGTGAATGCTTCCACCGATTATGAATACTGAGGCAGTCTTTCTGAAACCACGTACGCCGTTCAAGCTGGCTTCCTTCAACGTTCGCACACTAATGCAGATCAGACAACAGATAGGGCTGGCTATGTCTTTGGAAGGTCTTAATGTTGACGTTTGTTGTCTATCCGAGACCCGTATTCAAGACTCTAGTGAAGTACTACAAATCCGCTCTCCATCTGTCGCCTCGAAAAGCTTGTTCCACGTGCGCTTATCCGGGGACCCTGTGGCATCTTCGTCTGGTCTTGCTGGCGTTGGTGTCGCACTAAGCGCTAGAGCTGAGGCAGCACTAATCGATTGGATCCCCATTAACAGTCGGTTATGTGCTGTTAGATTAGAAAGTTCCATCAAAGTGAGAAGAAATCGGCGTGAGAAACGGTGTCTTTTCGTCATCTCCGCCTATGCCCCGACAGATTGCAGCCCGGATGCAATCAAGGATGAGTTTTACCATCAGTTAACAGTTCTTCTCCAGAAAGCGCGTTCGACAGATATTGTAGTTCTAGCCGGAGACTTGAATGCACAGGTCGGGCGTCTAGGCACAGAAGAGAGTCGTCTAGGTGGCCGATGGGGACTTGTTGGTCGCCGGACAGATAACGGGGACCGTTTGCTGCAACTGTGCACAGACCACAACCTGTTTCTGGCTAGCACTAACTTCCGGCACAGTCATCGCCGGTGTGCCACCTGGCGTCCTCCCTCTGCATCCCAAGCCTGGACTCAGATTGATCACATCGCGATCAGCTACCGCTGGCGTGGTTGTGTACAAGACTGCCGCTCCTTTTGGAGTACCTATCTGGAGTCTGATCATGCCCTGGTCTGCGCCAATCTCACCTTACTTTTCAGTGGCCGAAGGATTGACCACCACCAACGAATTGATATTAGTAAACTGGCTGCAACTTCTGTTGCAAGTAAGTATCGAGCTGAGCTAGCCTCTAGGCTAGCTACCACCCCACCGAAAAGTATAGACGAGCATTGGTTGCATCTTCACGACGCCATGAAAATGGCGAGTAAAGCCGCTTGCGGCTTCGCGAAACGTCCCGCTTACAAGCACTGGGTTTCTTTTGGCTCCTTACAACTGATGGAAGCCCGTCGGTCTACTCCGGGTGACCGTGAGTTTGACCACAAACGAAGGCTGTTACGTAATGAAATCGGGCAAAGCTTGTGTAAGGACCGGGAAGCCTGGTGGTCGGAGCGTGCTAATGAGATGGAAGCAGCAGCTGCATCTGGTAACTGCCGGAAGCTCTTCCAACTCATCCGAGCCACTGGCAGCAAGAAGTCTGGTGTGAGTGAAACAATCTACGGGGATGACGGGATGCCAATCACTAACATCTCCCGACGTCTTGGACGATGGGCGGAATTTTTCGAAGGGCAGTTCAACTGGCCTGCTGCTCCGGCAACATCAACCAGCTTGTCCTGCCCCCCATGGCCGGTGACGACTGTTCCACCAAACGAGGCGGAAGTCCGCAAGGAACTCCAACTCTTGAAACGTTATAAATCACCTGGCCCAGATGACTTACCTCCGGCTCTTTTTAAAGATGGTGGTGACTTTCTGGCTAAGGAACTGACTGCGTTGTTTGGAAAGGTCTGGGAGCAAGAAAGTGTTCCAACATCTTGGAATGAGTCAATAGTCGTCCCTATCTTTAAAAAGGGTTCACGTTGTTCCTGTAGCAACTATCGGGGGATAAGTCTACTTTCGATCGCGTCCAAACTATTGGCTTCTATCATTCTTCGTAGGTTGTTTAAAACCCGAGAACGATTGACTCGCGAGGAGCAGGCTGGTTTTTGTTCTGGTCGAGGATGCATTGATCACATCTTCACCCTCCGCCAAATGTTAGAACACCGTCATACTTATCGCAGGCCAACAATCGTAGTGTTTCTTGATATCAGGGCGGCCTTCGATTCGTTGGACAGGACTGTTCTCTGGGATTGTCTATTGAAGAAGGGTGTGCCTGAGAAGTTCATTAACATCTTAAAGGCCCTGTATACGAACACCTCAGGCAGAGTGAGGGCATACAACAACCTTTCTCCCTTGTTCCATTCGAGCAGTGGGGTTAGGCAGGGTTGCCCGATCTCCCCATTCCTCTTCAACTTTGCCATCGACGACATCCTAGAAACAGCTCTGATGGATGTAAGTAATGGCGGTGTGGATATGTTGCCTGGAGAACGACTTCTCGACCTTGAGTATGCGGATGATATTGTCTTACTGTGCGATAATGCCCAAGGCATGCAATCAGCACTTAATCAGTTGGCAATCAGTGTCCGCAGGTACGGCATGTGCTTTGCACCCTCCAAGTGCAAAGTACTTCTACAAGACTGGCAGGATTCTCATCCTGTACTCACCCTGGATGGTGAGGAGATCGAAGTAGTTGAGAAGTTCGTGTATCTAGGTAGCTATATAAGTGCTGGTGGTGGTGTGAGTGATGAGATTGATGCACGTATAATGAAAGCCAGAGCGGCTTATGCCAATCTGGGCCATCTTTGGCGCCTTCGTGATGTTAGTCTGGCTGTAAAAGGTCGGATCTACAACGCGTCGGTGAGAGCAGTTTTGCTCTATGCTTGTGAAACCTGGCCTCTCCGAGTTGAGGATGTTAGACGTCTCTCTGTGTTCGATCATCGTTGTCTCCGAAGGATTGCTGACATCCAGTGGCAACACCATGTTAGTAATGCAGAGGTTCGGCATCGTGTGTTCGGGCGCAGAGACGATAATTCAATTGGTGTCACCATCTTGAAACACCGACTTCGGTGGCTCGGACATGTTTTACGAATGTCGTCCCAGAGACTTCCGCGTCGTGCATTATTTGCCGACCCTGGGACTGGTTGGAGAAAGCGGAGAGGAGGTCAGTGTATGACATGGTGTCGTGGCATGAAAGAGAGCTGCAAAGGGCTAGCTTCCGTTGGTCCTTCACGACTCCCTGGTTGGGGTCCGAGAGATAGTGCAACACAGTGGCTAGAGACGTTATCGGATATGGCTCAGAATAGAAGCCAGTGGCGATCCTGCTGCAACCTTCTTTTACTTTCTACATAAAGAATGGTTCTAACTTTCCTAACTGAAAGAATCTTCTGGTTGTACATTTCAGCCCGCCTTATCTTTTCATCCTTTATCTACCTACTTTCATTATTTTGTGTGGCGCATATGTACCTGGTGCCCTTTTGTACCAATATATATGTGTTTAAATAAATAATAAATAAACTCCAGCGAGGCCACGAGAAGCAGTATCAGGGCTTCCAGATACACGAAGCGTGTATCGAGTCGGTTCTTTATTATGACATGATGAGGTCAAATGAATGACTCTAATCGGATCTTGTATGCGCGTTTCGGAGACGCAGCACACACAGATGGTGTGAGATTCCAAAGTCCTAGCTAAGGAGGCCTGTTGTTCTATTTGGCATAATGTTCGTACATTAAAAGTTCCTACATGTAGTTTACAGCGTGATTTCAGGAGACCAGGAATAACGTTCCGTGTACTCGAATCGTTTGCCCTAGCGGTGCGAGGTGATAAAAGGACGCGAGAAGGGTTAGTCGTGGAGATAAGAGAGTTATTAGGTGTAGGAAGGATTTGAAAGTGACCAACTTGGTCTTGTGTGCAGTAACGGGTATGAGGGCTAATATCACTTCCCGGCTGCCCACATCGTGGAAGGGCCAATGTCCTGTTATTTAGTGTCAACCTACGGTAGAAAATGTATTACTCACCCATCTATCAATGTACAATCTGATTCTTGATGTTGAAGTCACAAAATTAATTAAATGGGGAAAGACTGCTTAAGAAGCTTCAATTTCCGTGTTTTTGTTGGGGAGATCCAAAGTGTTTCTCAAAAAGTCCAGAGGAGCTCTGAAAACTCTGGGAAACATTTTATCTAATCAACGTTGAATAGAAGTCTCTCAGAAACTTCTAGAGTGAAAAGTGACGGGTCACATTTCTTAGTGGATGACTACCTATCCTGCTACTATGTTCACTATAGTTTCAGAAGGCCATTTGAAATACTATAAATACCCTCAATTCTTTATAAGTTAGCTGGCTTTGGAGTAAAACGTTTTTGTTTCATACTTCGCATATTTTCTCTCGTGTTCAAGTTGTTTACATTTAACCAGGAGTTATCAGAAGAGCATAGGAAACCGATTTAAGCGTTTAGTCAGAAGACTTGTTAGTTTGTGCGTATATATGTACATTCATAATCATTTAACATAAGTGAGGGTATCGACCTTGGTAAATAAGTGGCTTACCTATTACGCATCACCGATGCCATGAATCGACCGACCATACAACATTGACGTGTGTAATTTCGTACATCTTATCCTGTTTTTCTGTTGTCATCATCTAGTGTAATAATTGTAGAGCATACACAAAAGCTCTCTAGAGCCAAGAGTGTTAAAAAAAACTTAACTAGAAATACTTTGTTTTTTCGTCTTATCTTTGTGTATACTTTCGTTAGAATCAAGTGATTGCTAATCCTGTACTTTGTGCTGTTCACAAAGTTACAACTTTGCAACAATCGATAACTGGTCATCCTAACCAGATCCCATATTTTGATAAATGTCGACCTTCCACTACATTGTTAGATGATCTACCAGTTTTTGAATTGGATTTTTTATCCAAAACTATATTTACCGACACCATGAATATTTTTTGTAAATTTGAATAATAAAAATGTAAATACTTTAAGTGAAGACAATTTTTTCTCTCCTTTCGTGTTCATGTGTTAGAAATGTCTTGAATGTTGTGAAGTTATTATTCAATGTACCTTTAAAGTCACTTGCTTTTATTGTCGAATTCGTTTTTCATTCCTTAAATGAAAACACACCTGCTCGTTTATCATATGTATTGATCTCGAATTTATTCAGTTTTTAAAAACAACCTTTGTTACTATGAACAGTGAATATTTGGGATAGTGATAAACTCAAGATGCTACCGATTTATGGTGTACATGCACAAAAATACCTAGAAAAATTGATGTTATGCAGAATGATTAATAATTCGATCAATCAAACAAATGTCCTGATCCTATCATTAGATGTAGCTAACAAGTATAAATCGTCGTAGGGTTGACTTCAATGACCAGTAGTATCATCTGACTCGATATCAATCTAACCACAGGAAGTTTGTGCTCCAAATTTCCTTGAAATGACACAAAACATCCGAATTCGCCTCTGTACTGCGGTTTTCCAGCCGTTATCATCTACCAATTTAAAATTTTACTCGAGTTCTACAAAAGTCAGTGTTTCTTACTTTTGAAGAATTAAGGTCGTTTTCTTATATTAAGTGTTCTCTCGTGTACATTATTTTTATTCAATTATCGGCAAAGTTACGGTTATATCTTACTGCTAAAACAACGATTTTAAGTGTCAGAGTTACAAGGTTTAATTTACATTTGGCAAACTAAAACTGTCATTTTACTGGTGCACCGTTAGTCCTCAATAACAATGTATCCAACAGAATACTAATATTGTGTTGCGACTATCACTCCAGTATTTATAAATGCTTGAAATTAGACGATGTTAATACTATTTCGAAGACTATTTCCGCAAAGGATTGACATCAGTTTCTAGATTTTTGAAAAGCATCGAACACTAAACAGTCGTTTTTTGGTACTTCTCAACAATGCACTCCTACTTTATGTGTATTCAAACCGATGGCATTCCAATGTAGTGATAACATTTTTAGCATTAAATTGACCATGATCAATGTTGACTTCTTGAATGTCTGCAGCTAAATTCATTTAGTACGTTAACTGGTGTATTTTTTGACTATATAGGTACATTTTGATCTAAACGAGGTAGTAAGCAAAACAAACCATTTTTTTGGTTTTCTTAAAATCAACCATTTATTCCAAATATTTATAGCAGAAGTCTTAGTTTCCCTTCCAAGTTACCTAACACTTGTGACCATGGAATTATTAATACTTTTATATTTGCTGTCATTCTGCATTAATCCAGGGGCTAATTTCGACAGGCGAACTGATAACGTGATTGTCATTAGGTAGCTTATTGTCTACCCGATCTTCACAGTAGAATGGTGAAAACCTACTACCATTGTTTTAATTTGATCACAAAAGTGCTTCACTTTACCAGATGAGCATGTCTAAAAACCCCGTTATTAGTGAATCGCGTGCATAAATACTAATAACATCTTGAGCATAAATATAGCTAAGACTATTCCGTACAGTTTGTATCGTTTACAGTCACTATCTGACTTTCCTATACTGTTTAATAATCATAAAGCCAACACAACTTTTGATACTATGCAGATTTCAAGCTTGTAAATTTCGATGCTCTCCTGTTTATTTTGATCGGCTTAGTAGTAACAAGAGTAATCCTGCTACATTAGTCGAATCTATTTCAAAATCTGGAGTCCAGAATTCGAGCGAAATCATGAGTAGTGGTAAAACGTTACTGGTAACTGGTTCATACAACTCAGAAACTGAGTAGTGTGGGTCAACAAGTCCTTGCGTCTAGACAACTGACTAGCTACTTGGGTCAACGACCAAAAGACATCAGAGGAAAAGCGATTTGCCTGAACAGTCAGTAAAATGGCTATCTGTTACGCCGTCGCATATGGTGTAAGTCGTTTCTCCAGTCAACAAATGATGGCACTGCAAATATGCAGATGATTGGCGTCCTTATATATGGCACATGTCTTGGATGGGGAAACCAAAGTATTTTCTTCCTACCAGACATAAATCTCTGCCAATTGTTGCTAGCAAACGTCACGATGTATTTGGAGAACCTGTTAGCTCGCATATATGTGCTAGTGTGGGGATATGAACACAAAACAATAAAACGTCGGCCTGAACCTTGGAGAAACTATTGTGTAAACTTACATTCGAATATACGACTCACATATGCCTGTGAAATCTGACCTTTCAGCTAAAAATGTTCATCACCCGTCTTTATTTGATCCCACTTCATGTACAGTGAAAGCAAGATGGATAAGTAACTTCAGGGAAACCGATATATACATACTATGACAGAAAAAAATTACAGCCTCTAAAATCAAGTGTTAGTTCACATATTTTCATTAATTACTTGCATGGTTAATTGGGTAGTATTGATGCTAACTGGGATTTCTGTGAACTTGATAAGTAATCTGGAAAAACGATTTGAAATTCAACTATCATATCGCCAAGGCGACTAGGTTCCTTTAAAAAGGGAAGACCTTGATGAGGGATACGTCTAGTTATCCCAGGTTTGATGATTTCAGTGAGTTGGATGTTTATTTGTCCTTCATCGATTGTTGGTATTGAAATAGTGCCCCCACAAAGAGCTTGTTTTAGACTAATTTTAGCCACATAACGTACATCACTGCCTTCACGCTTGAAATGTTTGTGTGTTCGATCTTTAACAACGAAAACAACGTCCGCAGGAATATTGCCTTTAATGCTCTCATCACCCTCCCGAGGGAACGTGATTTTTGTACCAGCTTTCCAACCTTTTTTAACTTCGATTTCAACCGTCTTTTCTTCCTGACGAGTGGTTTGTCTGTCCGGATTCAAACGAGCTCTCGTAATACGAATTTTCTTTGTCGTCCCATGAAGAACGTCTTGAAGTGAGACTGACAAATCATGATATATTGGAGGATCCTGTTGAGCCTTTCGACCACCTGTCGGGCCGACATTTCTAGTTTCAAAGAAACCCTAATGTATAAACGTACGTAATTATTAAGGCAATAGAATTTAAAAGTCACATTAAAATGCCTGAAGACATATAGATTCGAAAAAAAATATTACCACTCCTCGAGTCAAGGTTTTTCGGTCCGAGCTCCCACCATTGGGTTGCGAGTGCATTCGAGAATGCCAGGTCTTTTTCGTGAGTACCGCTATTTGTCTGTCGAACAACTATCTAGTATCTTGGTTTAATCTGGTCGCCTTGCAACCTTACTCATTCTTGTATCAATCCAACCAACATTACAAAAGCTCGTCACTTTTACTTAAAACTACGTAGTTAACTACAACAACACTCGCTCTTATATAATACATGTAAGTAGTGTCGAAAAATATAGACAAGATCTTTGATCCTGAGGTCTCAAGGGGGAAACGTCACTTTTGATCGGTCAGAGGAGACCTTAAATATGATGGAGCTATGAAGTAACTTTAATTCTAAGGAAAAACAAATGGAGAGTAGGTCTACTAGACTACTAGTGCGACAATTTATTTAAAAATTTCGACAGAGTACTAAGACGGAGTTGATACCAAAAAGTTCGATGTATTTGCGCTATATATTTTGAACAGCTCTCTCTTGGGCAATGCAACCAAGCTCCTAGGTCGCCAAGACCACCCCTAACCCAGTTTCCTTCTCAGGTACCTCATGAAGAATTATCCTTCCACCATATGGAGGACGGGGAAGTGACAACCCCACTTACACTTAAACAGAAATCTAGATCGTCTACCTTAGAATCAACCCTCTTCTTTATTGATTAGTATTACTTTAGTTTGCATTATCAATCTTTATCTCGGGAATATCAAAAGATGAGTTTTACAGAAAGCGTTCTGACTTTCAGGCGGTCATACGTAGTAATCGTAGCAGGTTATTTTAACACGTAAGTGATAGGCTAAGTCAAACAACGGTGACCATATTTCACAATGGATTTCGAACAACCGGTTATTCCTATCACGTACAACCTTTAAGCATTAAGAAAGACACTATATAACTTAGCAACCTCTAAAATCAATACAAAAATGACCGTAATTAGACCAAATCGTCACCAGACATTGCTAGAAGCGCGATGGAAGACTGTCACCACTATTCCAGCATATGATTCCACTCCAACCATGCTCTACGCGTTTTACTGGACACAAAATCCATAACAGAAAGACCCCTTGACTATCAATCCACAGATAAAAACGTGAAGAAGGAATACAGAGAGGGATTAACTATGCAAGTAGTTGAACTTCACCCTGAAGAAGTTTTTTCATGATGTGTAAGCAGCTATAAATAAAGCAGTGGTGTCCACCGCCAATTCAAATCCAAAGGTTAAGAAGGACCAGTGGGTTTCGTTTGCATTTACTGAGTCAATAAATACTCGGAAACTCATCCGTTTAGATCTGAAGAACGATGAAGAGCAACCAAAACTCAAAAGTAAACAAAAGAAGGTTTACCCAATGATCGTGAGTAGTGGTTGGAGAGTTAAGCAGAAGAGATATAAACGGCTGCAGTGTCAGGTAATACTAGACAATCGACCATAACGATAAAAACACTTACCAAAGAAGTATATCGTAACTGTGGTTAGCATTGGTTAGAAATTTCATGGAATGTAGGTCTTATTTTTATATCAAAGGTAATCTTGTAGATTCTTTAGTCACTTGTACATAATCACCAGATTTCTAAAAGCAACTAGTCAACACAAACTTAAGGCGTATTCTGATAAATATGTGTTAATTAATACACTAACAAATCGTTGTCGTAATAAATATCCTGCACTGATAGCAAATAAATTAAATACCCAGACTACTAGGTTGGAGTGCGCGTGCCTACCGTAACAAATGGTTGGGGACTCTGGGTGACATGGCTGAGAATCGATCACAATGGCGTAGGTGTATACATATTCTGTCTGCCCTTAAACTATAAGATTGAAATTTCTTCATATATTTCTTCCTGTACTGTATCATTATATACAGTCTTTCATAAATTACCATCATTAAATTGACTTTATGAATTCGGTGTTGATCTTGTAGTGCTAATGAGGCACGGCAACTGGGACCGATGCATATATGTGCCTGGTCCTACGTCCTAGTTGACTGATTGATTGATGATGGTTTATAGAAATTCGTAATTTTAATGTATGAATGCTTTGAAAGAAACAAACGACAGCATATTAAATTCAAGGAAATTGGATGAATCTTTCAGTTTCCCCAACTACATGTGACTTCACTTAGCTGTCCAATAAACTATGCAAACTGTTAATTATTTCCTGACTCGAACACTATATTACGACTAAGGCAACAAAATCTAGTCTTGTGGTTTTGTTCATGAACAGCAAGCACAGACCAAAGTTATCTAAGGGGTGTCTACTTCGCGTAGATGGAAGTTCGGACAGGCCTGGAAAATATAAATTTTTATCTGTGAACCTAAGATGTTTATTCCACTAACCATCTGCGAAATGAAAGATTATAAAAACTATAATTTCCGTGTAAACTTATACAATACAAACTGAGACAGTGGAGATTCGTAGCTCAGGTGGATGATTTTGATGGAGTTTTGTCCTCTGAGCTGAATTGTCTCGTCGCGGAGCCTTCATCTCCGTCCAGTAGAACGACTGAAGCCCCAC